TATATTTAACATATAATTAATTTACCTCCCTAGTTTTCCGTTTCAGATGAGACAAACACTAGCCACACATGGCATGGCTGCAAGTCCTTTTGAGTACAAAGTACAATGAAGTTGCATTTGTAGTAGGCATTAATACTTTGCAAAACATACTTTCTATAAGCCACTGTCAATCTAGTTATTTCTGGCCTCCAGTTCAAAGGCTTGTAGCTCTTTTACCCATTCTCTAGAATAAAGTATATGTACATATGAGTCATCACTGACCAATAAACACTACATTTACTTTCTACAGTATTAATTCTATTTTAAAAGTACTTGCCCCAGACTCACTGCTTGTACTTCACATTTATGCTCTGGAGAACATGTGTGTGACCTCTTCAATGATTTTAACATTAATATGATTATATAAGTTATTTTGTTCAGATTTACTTTGGGGTTAAACTCTCAGTTTAAGCTCAAGCTTCTGTCAGCAGAGGACAACAGGCATAATGAAGAACATCAGCACATTACTAACACTAAGACACTCCATAATAGGCTTTTGTAATTGTAGCACCAATTGCCAGGTTTATTACAGAAACAGAGTTTACATTGTCAGTAGCTGACACCAAATTTAAAGAAATTTGTTAACAATAAGGGAACAATATGATTCATTTCTCTGCGCAAACTGGAGAAGAAAATGAAATTAGAGCACGTGAGTGTGCAATAGGAATATGACTCCAGCATGGCCTGGAGCATACCCTATAGTGCAGCCTTCAGGTCTGTACTTAGTGGTGAAATGCAAGCAAAGCTTCAAACTATCATGTTGCCGAGATCAGCACACTTCATTTTCTTTTTGGTATCATTCAAAACTTTAAGCAGGCTACAAACAAATACACAGCTGACATTGCCAAAATAGGTTACACAGCGGGAGCAACACACAAGCCTTTGAAGAAAACAGGAACCTGCAATTCAAGCAGAGCATCAACAGAAAACTTGAGATACTTGAGATGCTTTGATGCCTTGTTTTACAGCACAAGGCAATCAGCCAAAAGCTAGCTTATAAAAGGCAGAGAACATTTGCTAACCATCCAACAACTCTGATATTAAAAAACATGAGCAAACAACAGCAAAACCACGACACTTCATGTTTGGTTCTTTTGCAAAACAGAGACACCAGACAACACTCCAGCTCCACAAAAGAGCTCATACTTACTCAATTTCCAACCACCTTCTCTCTCCTATTATTAACTATTTGGAGTTACAGAAGCAGACATCTTATTAAAACATACTAAGGCAGTGTTGCTCCAGTCATTAGGTTGCACATGCAAAGAAACCTCTTAACGTACAGAATTTCTCATAAGAGTGCAGTTCTACTTCTGAAAAAATCCTTTATTTTATCAAGGCCTTCAGTAGCTAGCTTTTAGTCTTCTGTGCAATTCATTAGATGAGTATGACATCCAAATAAGTTACTCAGAGTCTCTCTCCCCAGAATAAAAAGGTGAAAAATAAAAATGCTTAGTACTTCTGGATAAATAGCACATGCAATATCCCTTTAGCTAACCAAGGAAAAGGGTGTCAAGTTCACAAGATGGTAAACAAGCATTACTTTAATGAACACTGAAAGACATGTTAAGATCTTCATAGCAATGGTGTTGCTGTGCATGCAGGTGTTTGTACATACATGATCTTACTAATATTACTTCTATGTAAGATCAGAAGTATATTTAACTTCCACCTCACCTATGTGGGATGCTTGCCTTGCAATACTAAAGTATCTTAATCCTCCTGTAAGTATGCAGTCTACTTGTGTTCTGCTGCCTAGGTAATTAAAACAAAATTTAGTCCATGAAGCTCAGTGCTTACACAATCTAAGAATTAGAAAATTTCTGTCTCTAAGTGGATGTGAAAATATCGTATCTTCCACTGGGGGAGGGTGGGGAAGAATTTTAAGGAATTACATTATCTATGCTTTCTGAAAATAAAAGCCTTTAAAGTAGTAAAACCCCTCATTTTCATATTGCATATAGTCAGGAAACACTGTGACATGGATGGCTAAACTAACCATTCCTGTTGTAGAATAAGAATGCCAAGGAAGTAAAAGATCATACAAATACTATGCTAGATTTAAAACATTAAAGAAAGAGGCACTTTCCAAAATACCAGTCAGATATCTACAAACAAGTCAGCAAACTCATAATTAGAAAACACACCCAAGGCTACAGGCACCTAGAGATACACAAAGTGGCATTACATGTACAAGCAGGTCAACTCAAACAGTTTCAAGGATGTCATTCTTTTGATCAACACCCAGACCTGTGGTGCACCTCCCTGAATATCAGTGAAGAAGAAATCCAAACTCTTCCTTAACCCCAAATCATTTGCCGTGTACTTTCAGGCCTCTTGTTTTTTAACAATTAGAAATGAAGCACATGGGTAATTTCTTTGGGCACAAAGTTTCTTCCAGACCACACTTCCCAAACTTGGCCAGTTTATTTTTGCAAAGTTAACCTAAAATGTATGTGCTGGAGTTTGATCTGTATCCTTGGATATATTCTGATCCATAAGTATTTAAGTCATGCTCTCCCCAGCCTGTTTCTAGAATCTTGCTTTTCTCTAGCATAATTATTAGTAACAGCTCTGAATGAATGACAGAAGCTCAACTCAAAGGCACAACAGATTAATATGTATGCAATGTTTTTACAGATTAAAAAAAAAACAACAAAAAAACCCCAGAACACCTCGTTTACCCACAACTGTGTTTTCCTGTTTAACAGTTTCCGAAGTGTGATTTTAAGACATGACGTCCATTAAATGAACTCTGATTTACATCTCCAGTGTTTCCACTGTATACCGTCATTTCATTAGTCTGTGTATCTGACAAAGATGTCTGTTCCTTAAATGCAAAATGTACTAATGGCCGTGAAGCACATAAGCTTGTCCTACAATGGCACTGGAGGCTATCATCTCAAACCAGCAAGTTTCTAATTTATTAGCTGCCACTGACTATAGAAAAACTGTAACTAGTATCAGCACACAGGTGACTGGAAACAAAGTCAAGAACATTAAGATATAATAAACTGTGCTCAAAGGTTGACCAAAGAGGGGCTACCAAAACTGTAAGATAACTTAGCAAGAAAAGATCAAGTGATTAAAGGTCTGAGTACCCAAAAAGGAAGCCAGTTCACACACAAACTAACTGCAGACTTTTCCACATATAAGCAATGCACCAGAGATCTAAAAATAAAGTTGGGCATACGCAGTTTTGTATGATGCTTTAAAGGTCTGTAATTCCAAAGGTTAAAGCCATAATCATTATGATTATAATGAATATTCTACCATCACAAAGCTACAGGCAAAACTTAGGATCTCAACAACAGCCCTAGCCTACCAAGGCCTCACAATCTGGGGAGAGAATGCACAGCTGTGCATATATATATGTGTATATATATATATACACACACACACACACACACACACACACACACTAGAGTATGGTAGAAGCCAACCTACATGTTACGCCATCCTAGCAAGCTTTAGAGATTGAGAGGGTTAACAACCCCCTCTCATCCTAATTCCTCTTCAGTGTTAGTTGTGCTCAGTCACACCACATCAACAATGTAATACTTTGGAACATGGACAACAGCTTTGCATGTCTTAAATGAAATCCCTAACATAATTCTGTATAGCAACTGTACTTTGTTCATTGGTCTGCTTTGTAATGAGAGTAATTTTTAAGAATATCTCATTAAAGTCAAACCAATGATTTTCTGATGCAGCTGTTAGTACATCATAAGCTACTGAGACATTTACAGCAGTGAAATACTAACAGCATTTCATCAACATTAACTTAATCTACAAGTTCTTGTCCTACCGGATTGTGAAGTATTCACATGATTTGTTCTTCATTTAAGTCTACTTGCAAAAAAATTACCTCATGACAGGGCTTTTACAAGTAGATCATTCTGTTGCTATAATTTCAGGATGCTTTAAAAATGAATTTGTGAAAATCGACACAAATAGCACCACCAAACCCCATTTGTGCTTAATATATACTTCTTGGAAAGTACTCTTACCTTGGGGAACTAGAATTAAATGACACCTGACTACTTGTATAACACACTATCAAAAATTTTGACTACATGTACCAACATCTAAGAAAGGGGAAGGGAAAAATGTGTTGGCAAAAAAAATAACACATTTTAGTTCCATGTCATCCTAGATTTTCCACATAATACCTACTTGACATATCTGACTCTTATTTGGAAAAAGAGTTTTAGAATAAGGTGTATAGGAGTCTTTGGTGCAGTTTCAAGAAGTGTTCACTGGAATGACAACAAATGCAAGCTGACATAACGGAACAGTGCAATGTAGTATCAACTATATGCTAAGAAAGTAGCACCAGAGATTAAGCGATCAGTGACAGGAAGGCTGTTCTTGCTAAAATTCAGAAGGTTATCAAGTTCTGCCTTGAGCTATAAAGATCTGTATCCCCTTTACAAGTTAGCAGATTACCAACAATTTCCTCCTTTTGAGCCTGTATGAAATATCATTGAGACAGAGTTAATGGCAAAGAATCACACAGGCTAGCTGCATGTTACAAAAATGCTTGGGGACAGCTTCTCAAGTAACATGAAATTTTATTTAGTCATCAAACAATACAAAACACCTGTGAAAGCATTTGAGTCTGAAATGAAGCTAAAGATGATTCATCTACAAGATAAAATGTACAGCACTAATGAAAGCTCTCAACCAACCACCTACACACTCAAGTAATGCACTGAGCCTGTACATACACTAATCAAGTTTATATTTAGCTTGTGATCTTATACTATCTAAAATCAGTAACTATAATACAGTTAACCACATTGAATCCATTCCAGTTCATTTAAAACTCCCATACTTCAGACCAATGCATGCAGGCACAGAGAATAAACATTCCTTAGATGAGGCATGGGGAAAGCTGGGGGCCTTCAAAGATAATCATTGCAACATTAAATATGTTAGAAACAAATACATTTGCGATCATGGAGACCAGCTATAACTCACTGAAGAATACCAAGGTATTACCAACAGCATGAAAATGTTAAAGCAAGCTTTGCTAGTAGAGTTGAAGACAAGGATCTGTTCCAGATCTTATCTGGAGTTCCAGAGGACAACACCTAAAAGAAACAATTAATACTAGAGAAAGGAATCAACAAATATTCCACCACAAGACAGAATCTATGCAGAAAATAAACTGTGTGAAGGATGAAGATTTGTAAAATAATTCAGCAGGGAAAAGGCTGAAACAGCATAGCTCCCAAGTGAGCCTTTTTCTGAACACTACTCACAGACTGCTAACATGTTCTTCTCCAAATTAAAATATATATAGGTAATAGTCCTAAACATTCTTTCAACCTTAGCTTTTGATATTTATCCCACGAACAGACTACAGACCAAGCCTCAACAGCCATGCTTGCGTAGCAATGACTAATAACTAAATCTGGAGATCAATAACCTCCACAGACTCTGTGGATTGAAAGGAAAGCTGCAGGCTACAACAGAAGGTCAGTCAGAAGTTCAGGGCCTCTCCAGCAGCAAGCCTGCACAGACCATGCAGACTTTGTGAATGCCATCTTACATTAACCTGCAGCGCGGCAGATAGCGTGGCCTCCAGTACAACTGGCAAAATCACTGTAATTGTGACCACACTACAAGCATGCATACACTGAGTCTACCTGGAGATTATTTTAAACAACAGATGTACCACTCAATGATCATAGAAACCTTTTCATAAATCATGACCATAGAAACTTTCTGCAATTTAGAAGATTATAAGTTTTGACTGCACCAATACTCAGATACATGAAAGAGGCAAAATGAAGTTGAGCAGCACCTTGAAGCATTTCTGCTGAAGGGATGTGAATGAGCAAAGGCTGTTACTGAAACTGAAAGCTTAGCTGTTAGAGGATTAAAACTATAAAGTAAAATCTTAGTATTGTGTTCAAAGTGCCCACTAAAAGTAATTAAATGAGAGGAAGGCCAATGATCAGAGTTAACACGATGACAACTAACTCTGCTTCTGGGACTTTAAAACTGGTCAGTTTTACAAGCAATCAAAAGTGATTTCTACAAGTAATCAAATGCAGACAAGACAGCAGGCAGCAATGCAGGTGGTATTAAAACAGGTATGTTTTTACCTAAAAATCTGAGAGTTTCATACGCAGTTATCCTTGCCAAGCTCAGTCTGACAGCTTCTTAGCTAAGTACAAAGAGCTTCAGTCACTTTAGGGAAGCAGAGCCTGTGCTTCCCCCAGACTTCGCAGAAAAGAAGTATTCATTCTAGCTGTGCTGACCCCTCTGGCACTGACCATCCCCCAGAAGACCCAGTCATCAACCAAGAAAGCTACAGGCAAAATTAGTCATGTAGCATATCACTTCAGGTAGCTTTCCTCCAGTGGGAGTACAAACAAGGAACAGCTAGGATTTTAATTTTATTCTCAAAGTTTAAACAGCATTCAAGTCAAGCAGTATAGAGAAACTATAATCAATAATTATACTTAATTTCACGTAATAATGACTTAGAGCATAAAGTTTCACAGTATACCTACTACTAGATAGAAAAATATTTAAGAAAATTTTGAACCACTGTAGAAAACCCTTAATACATCAATTCAACAACGCACAAGATAACCAAACTATGCTTAAAAAGTCCCCAAACTAAATGTCTATCACACATGCACACACAAACAAGACTCAGGAGATGGATGAAGTGTGCTAGGTGAAGGCCACTTACACATCCAAGCAGTATTTCCAGTAACCAAACATAACACAATTTTTCTGCAAGTGCCAAGCATTTAGCAGGACTCCAATAATCAAATTGACACTGTAATTGGAATAATTTAGACTTCCAAAAATAGTTACAGATTAATTAGGAGTAATTTCTGGAGTTGAAAAGACCCCACACAGCATTTCATCTATATATCCAGACATAAAGGAAATTCTGCTTTCCTTTAATCTTTTGTTAATTGAAACATAAAAATCAAGAAAGAAACCGCACACTCTTCAGCGACTCAAATATCCCTTCAAAATTGAAAGTTGCAAGCAATACAAAGATAAATACATAACTCAGGTAGCACACAAAGTCCTACGTATTGGGGCTTTTGTTTTCTTTTCTCTACAGCAAGTCATAAGAATTTTTGCTCTGAATTCTTGGAAAATAGGTTTGTTAAACCCTTGCCTTCCAACGGAAAGATAACAGGATGGTGAAAGAGTTGCACTTTTGAGTTAATTTTAGGACTATTCCAGTGTCAAATTACTGAAACAAAACTGGGCAAAATTAAACTTTTGAAACACTATAATGAAAGTATAACAAAGTTGGAGTTCCATCAGTTGCTGCAATACAATTATTAACTATCAGGAATATATCCTGAAGTCTTAAATATTTTCCTTACCAATTCACTTTTCCAGAATTAAGAATTATTGATCTTAATAGTGATAACTATTCATCTCTTCAGACTGCTGTTGTTGTTACTTGTTACTCATCTTTCAGTTACTACAATAAAATTTAACCAAATCAGTTGCTTACTGAGGTTAACAGACCTTGTTTGATGCTCTTTGCCATTTATTGCCCCCCCAAAAAATTCTTCACAGATCTTCAGTAAATGCCTCCACAATACTAGAGACGCAGTTAGACATTTGCTGAAATAAAACTGGATGAAGTTAATATCAGTTTTAATACTTCCAATAAAGCTTTGCACTGGCATTACCTGACAGTAATTCCCTCTGATATTTCACTTTCCCAATTTTCTCTTTGGAAAGCAGAAAGGTAACAGGTTTCCAGAACCAGGAACTCTCTCCTCCCACCTCACATTTAATACTTCATGCTCCCATACTTTTACATGGAGCACAGTGATGCTTTCAACCGAAGCCAAGGAGCTCAGCTTCCTGGGTGCTCTGGTTCTTCACAAAAGTATCACAAAGCACAGCATGCTGTAATACGGAGCCTGCAGCATCCTGGTAACTCCAGGCTGCAAACATGAACCATGAAGAACCAACAGCTTATAGTAAGAAAATCCTCAAGACAGCATGTTCTCACACAGCACTTTCTTCTTTCCCTTCCCTTTAACACATTCTAGTATCACTTCTAGTACAGAGTGCTTTATCTAGAAGCAAGACACTGCCATGCACCAGTTTCAACAAGTCACTAAAAGACTTGTTCAAATGTAAGGCCTTAAAAAGGAATCAATAGATATTAATGAGGTCTTGCTGATGAAGACTGTTCACTCCAAAGGACTTAAATTCACCTGCAGAGGACAAGCAAGCATGTCCTGGACAGCAAGCACCTCCTGGGCTGACAGAATCCTCTTACCAAATCATTTCACCCCGCGTTCCCTCTGTACCCTTCTGCCCGCACAAGACAAGTATTAAAGCCAGTTTTGCTTCAGAATTCCTCTATGTGCAACTTCATCTTATTTGAAAAGAGACTAGCATGAAATTGGCAAAATTCTTCAAGTAAAAAGGAAATTAGCTCCCTGCAGAAGCTACAAAGGTGTACAACTGTACATTAATACAGTCTATTAAAGAAATCACTAACAATAAAAATACAGAACTGATAGCTTCCTCAAGTTTTGTTCATATTTCCAAGTACTTGCTTATGCTCTTTGAGCTTAACTGTAAGGAGAAATAAACAAAAGCAGCAACTTACTTTAAATAAGTTTTCAGTATGCAGTTTCTCTTTCCTGATATTTATGTATCAAGTGTCTTACTTTCCAACAGTTCCTATACTATTGTTCAAGGCACTGACAGTCTATTCTCTTGTCTTAAACTGCATTAAAAACTGATGCAGAGACACAAGTAAAACATACAAGGGACTAAGGGAAAGGAAAAAGCAAAAGAAGCATTTAAGAAGAATTTTAATTAAATGATTACTAGCCTAACAGAAAAAAAATCTTATGATTGATTAAACATTTGAATGGAAAGCTGTCTTTGAGTACAGTAAAAAAAAAAGAAATGTAATGGGGGAAGGAGAAAAGGGAAAGCAGAGAGTGACATTAAAGAAGCTCCTCTTAAGAAATCTGTACGCAGTCTTACAAACCAAGTGATGACTGGCTTCTTGAGGTCTCATTTACTATTAACTTTGGTTTTAGAAGTAGAGGCATTGAAAGCTACTTGCACTTAGCTTGCAAGATTCTCTGTCGACAGGACAATGAGGTAAAAGAGTAAACTTAAAATACCCTACAAACAGCTGATTTTTTTTTCTTCCTTATTTATGACAAAATATGAAGGCATTCTAATTTTTCACTCTATTTTAAACACCCACCAGAAACTCTCAGTGGCACTAAATCACAGATTTTCTAAGGCATCCAAGAGGATACTTTCTTCTTTCCACTACCAGTGTGTGAGCCTGCAGTTAAAAGCAGGAAGGAGACTAAGAGTATTTTCCCAAATTCTTAACACAGTGTAGCCCTATTATGATAAATGACTAAAACAGATGTCCCTTCTTTTTCTGTCAAAGGTTTTCCCAGCACCTCATAAGCAACAGTACAATTGCTAGTGATGCAGTCTTGTGTCACTAATTCTAAGCTTCTCTAGATCTTAATAAGGATTCTTACCGATTCATGTAGCACTACTACACTAAGAAGTCTCACATCCACACTTTCCTCTTTACCCCGTTCCCATTTATAACCACATTAGATGCTTTTCCAGCTCCTAGGTCACTATATTTGGTGATGTCATCCTCCCTGTGAATTTCTTCAGCTTACTTAAGCTTTCTCTTACACAAGAAGCTTTATTCTCTCAGTGATGCACCTGCTTACTCCGTCTTCTCTCACACGCTACAGGTAAGTAAAAGGCAGCTCTTCAATTCATTTAGGGATACCAAGTAACGCCCAACTCTATTCCCTCTTCCCACCCCCCCTCCCCCAAGAGGGACTTCGCACATTTTTTCCACGCTCAGAAACTACCTGGAAGAGTTCTCATTGCTTCTCTGCTCAGTCATCGATTAAAAAAAGGAAAGGATGGCTCAGGTGCTGCGACTATAGCATTCCACGTCCATCAACATTATCGCGTTTCCCTGCATAACCCAGATCTGCTTTTCTTCAGTTGCTATCTCCTGCCTTCGACAAACGCCTTGCTGTCAGCGCAGCTTTGCGCTCCGGTACTGCACAAACGCATCACAAAGCACAGCCTGCCGTGACGCGGAGCCCGCAGCATCCCGGCAACACGGGAAGGAACGCACAACACACACCACCCGCACACAGAATTACATGTTGCTTTTCTGTAAAAGCAGAGGTCACAGGCAGGAAGAAACACTGCGGGCCGCAAACCGCCTCACCGAAGCTACCAAACACGGGGCCAACCCCGACCCCAGTCTCTGTGAGGCATGCGGGAACCGATCACGCACTCCTCTCCCACCCCCCGCCGCCGACGGACAGCGCGGCCCGGCCGGGCCAGGCCCCTGCCCCGGGGGGCCTCGGGGCGGGCAGGGCCCCGCTTGCGCCACCAGCGGCCGCTTCTTCCGCCTCTCACAGCCGCCGCCGTCAGCCTGCTCTGAGCGCCCTGCAGCAACCAGCAGGCATCTTCGCACGGCCGCGGTGGCCGGCGCTGGCTGACAAGACAGTCCACCCGCCCCGGCCCAGGCACCGCGGCTCCCGGCCCGTGGCGGGGAGCCCCTTCGTGCTTGTGCCCTCCGAGCCTCCTGCCTCCCACCCGGCCCCGCGCCGCCAGCCGATCCGCCGGAACGCGAGGCCGGAGGCGGTGAAACCCGCCGCGCCCTTACCCGCTCCTCGCCCCGCCAGAACCAGCGCGCCCGAACCCCAGCTCCGCTCTTATCCCGCTGACAGCGTCCCGGCAGCCCATGGCGGGACAGCCCCGCCCGCCCTCGTCTCCCGGGCAACGCAGCCCCCGTGGCCCCGCCCCTGGCCCCGCCCCTCCCCGCGCCCCACCTGACTCCTCCGCTCCCGCCGCCGCCGCCACAGCTCCGCCAGCCCCGGTGCGCGCGTGGGCGATGGGCCGTATGACGTGAGCACCAGCAACCAATGGGCGCCGCCGCCTGGCGGAGCGGGGGGCGGGGGGAACCCCTGTGGGTGGGGGCGTGGCTTCCCCTGGGCACAGACCGCCCCCGGCGGCTCGGGCAGTGTGCTCGAGTGCAGCCTAGCCCGTCAGCGAGCGGGTGGGGTGCGCCGCACGTAACGGTTCAGACACCCCCCCCCCCCTCACCCCGCTTTAACGCCAGTGTTAAAAACGCCCGTGACGCCCGTGTCCCATCATTGGCTCCCAGCACGCACGCCGGCGCCAGTGCTCGAGCCTGGTGCTGCCTGGTGGCTGCAAGCCCTTTCCCGAGTTGCGCTGTGCCCCGTTGCTCGACTCGCGACAAAGAGCTCGGGGTGTGACGGGCTTTGCAAGCAGAGGAGAGTTTCACAGACTCATAGGACGGTTGGGGTTGGGAGGGACCTTAAAGCTCATCCAGTTCTAACCCCCTGCCACGGGCAGGGACACGTTCCGCTAGACCAGGCTGCTCAAAGCCCCGTCCAGCCTGGCCTTGAGCACTGCCAGGGATGGGGCAGCCACAGCTTCTCTGGGCAACCTATGCCAGGGCCTCACCACCCTCACAGGGAAGAGCTGCTTCCTTATATCTGACCTGGAGAGTTTGTGCTCCTTGCTGCAAGTAAATTCTCAGAGCTGCAGAGCCAGGCTTTGGCGCTCAACTGAGGCGCCTGGAAGAAAGGACTGCCCCGAATGCCACTTGATCAGACGCCCTGTCAGATTTGGTTCATGTGTGCAAATAAATCAGTAACATGCCCTAACTCCATTTCAGTGCTCTCACCCTCACCGGGAATTCACCTCACACAGCCAGGGCCCTTACTGACTTTTGTGAACATGGCATCAGCACGTTACCCATGATGCTAACAAGCATACGTTCCATATATTGAAACATGCCTACGTTTGGCATAACCTTCCCGATTCTTGAAATCAGACCTTAGCATGACCTTACCTCAACACGTCCCTCCCACATCCTTAGGCCTCTGGCTGCTGCTTTGGCCTCCCCTGAGCCTTGCTGCCTCTCCTGGGAAGGACTTGGTTCAGCTCTGTGGTTGTGTTCCAGCTACCATCTCAGGCCCACTGGCTACCTCAGTGGCACATTGGATTTGCAACACTTAAGCCACGCTGCCTGCAAGGATTACACGGATGGACAGAGACAGACCTTGGGAATGCTTCAGACAGCAGAATCCCAGGACCCACCTGCCAAAGTAAGTTTAAATACACACGAGGTAACAGCAGTTATGTCTTTTGCAATTATAAACTTCAATCTGCCTGTATACCCTGCTTCTCATACTCTTCCCCATGGCATCTACTTATGGCCATGTTTCTTTCAGGCCCCCTTTAGGTACTGGAAGACTGTTAAAAGGTGTCCCAAGAGCATTCTCTTCTCCAGGCTGAACAAGCCCAACTCTCTCAGCCTTTCCTCATAGGAGAAGTGCTCCAGCCCTCTGATCATTTTTTTTAGCCCTCCTCAGGACTCACTCCAACAGGCCCACGTCTTTCCTGTGCTGAGCACTCTAGGACTGAGTACTCTGGGTGGGGTCTCAAGAGAGTGGAGAGAGGGAGAGAATCACCTCCCTCGACCTGCTGGTCACATTTCTTCAGGTGTACCCTAGGTTGGCTTTCTGGGCTGCAAGCACACACTGAAGCCGTCTCATGTTCAGTTTCCCATTGACCAACACCCCCAAGTCCTTCTCCACAGGGCTGCTCTGAATCTCTTCTCTGCCCAACCTGTAGCTGTGCCTGGCATTGCTCTGACCCAGGTGCAGGACCTTGCACTTGGCATGGTTAAACTTCATGAGGTTGGCAACAGCCCACCTCACAAGCGTGTCAAGGTCCCTCTGGATGGCATCCCTTTCCTCCAGTGTGTTGACTGCACCACACAGCTTGGTGTCATTAGCAATCTTGATGCACTCAGTCCCACTGTCTATGTCGCCAATGTTAATTCAGGCAGCCTAAACCCTACTTTCAAGCTAGATTTTCTTTCAGTCCTGGAGAACATGGTAGGATTTGGTCCAGCCTATCCCTGCTGGCACTTCATCTAGTGAGGAAGAAAGTGAACCAAGATTCCCAACCCTGGGCTCAGGGAGTCCTCGACCTGAAGCAAACTCCCTAATGCTCTTGTGAAGCCACTCCACTTCCTGCAGCTGAGAAGAAAGGGAAGTCTCTTTTATCTCTGAACCAGGGTTTCCTGTTTACCAAAAAGAAGAGGTAGAGCTGTTTGACTTTTCTTTCAGATCTTTCAGCTGCCAAAGGAAGACTATACGCATGTGTCCATCCTCGGTGCTGGCAGTGGCAGGAAGACAGGTTTCTTCTGGCTTCTCCCATGAAACTCCTGCCTGCCAATAACTCCAAGGCTCTTTGCTGGTACTTTTGCTGCTGCTTGGTTTTCCTTACCAGCAGATGTACGGCAGAGCTAACATGATGCTCAACATTTACACATTGTCTATGGTATTCTTAAGGAGGCCAGTGAAATGAAGCAGCCCATATGAGCCTGTTTTATGGCAGAACTGAAATAACAGCAATGAAAATGAATCCATCAGCCAACAGTACATCAGCTCACCCTCAGAATATTAGCTTTTAAAGTTCAAAGAATAGAAACATTTTAGCTTGGTAACACATTTTACTGAAACTAAGTTTTCAGATGAGAATTGGCCACCACACACAAACATCTGAGTCAATTTTTGCAAGGTATCTATTAAAACCTTTGAAAAGAAGTTAGCCATAGCCTAAATCAAAATACATGAAAGCAGTTGTTGTCATGTGTGTGCTAAAAAAAAAAAAAAATATTAGAAACTGTTTGGACTAAAAAATTGTTGAGAAAAGTAAGTAGGTGCAGTTAAAGATTTCATCAGAACAGTGATGACCTTTCTCACTTGAACACTTCAAAGTGCAACATATCTTCCAGCTCTTGCAGATTTCCTGTAATTGTAGTAATTAAAGATCCTGCCACAGGTATGACAGCATGCCTGTTGCTCAGTTTTAAATATGACTTTTTCAGAAGAGTACTATGCATTCTGAATTCATGTGCTTCAATATAATTTTGCAGCAGCACCATGAAACTGAATAGAATGACACCAGTTCATGGCAGAATAACTTTAATATCAACATTGATTCTCTGATAACTCACTCTCTTCTACCAAAGTATCTGAATCTCACTATAAATTTATGAAGTTTTTCAGCATAATTCTTTCTGAATTCCTACTGTAATTTTCTGTCTTCTGCATATATGAAGAATGTAATGAGATGGAAAGCAAGCAAGAGAGAAGAAGATTAGTTGTATTTCCCTACTGTTCTCCTGGACATACAACAAGCCCACAGTACTGAGATCTGCACAAGTCATAGTGGCACTCAAATTCTATCAGTATGTGGTATTAATGTTCACAGACAGTAGATTTAGATCAACAGTTCCAAAATGTTGGGGTCAATGAGCCACTGTCCATTCTCAGAACTCCCTAAACACCCACTACACATTTTTCATAAGACTCCATCTGCTCTCATCATCAAAGTTTCAGCTGAAAGCATTACAAAGATAATGTAAGGCCTAGAGTTTTTTGGCCCATTTCTACAGTCTTGTTTTCTCTCTCTCCTTTCCAATTTAGTATTCAGCTGTGTAGGAAAATTGACCTGTGTTTTAATGATGTGATAGAGTTGATAATAAAAACCATAGAGTAACACATACAATATGCAAACTGACTTGAATCCACGATCTTAAATCAGAGAGGTTTTTGGAAAGGGTATCTTTTGTCAGCTGAGATGAGCAGTCTTTCAGCAAGGAAAGAATAATGGTCTGTTTTCCCAAAGAAGCACATTACTCAATTTTTTTTTCCTATGGCACTGTAAAAAAATGAATAAAATGTAAAATGAATAAAATAGACAAATAGTTTTGCACTTAGGAAATCAAGGGGTGGTTGAGGGATTCATAAAAAAAACCCAACCCAAACATACAATTTTAGATGTGGGTCTATGAACATCATGAGGAGAAACAGTCTCTGAGTAGATGCACTTCCAGATCAATGTTGGAGGAGACAGCTGTTGAATAAATTTGAGGACAAAGGAATCCAAGCTGGTTAGGTTTCATGTCTGCGTTCTTCATGTTTGACTAGTTGACTACAGTGGTATAGAAAGACCACAGAGAAAAGGAAAGCATAATTCAGCAGGCAGAAAGCTATTACAAAGGTGGAATTAAATGCTTCCAAAAGGGAACTTACTTAAAGAATAAGGACTGTGGGAAGCCTTCCCTAGCTGTTTGTAATCCTTGTTTAGCCTTGCCTACTGTAAGGGCTTGATTTCCAGAGATGCTTGATGATTTTATTGACGTAATTCCTGGTCAGCACACACTGGTGTAAGTATGTACTTACTGATGGTTCTAGTTCCTGTTTGCAGAATAGAAGAACAGGTAGCCAGATAGCCTGGCTGTAGCACATTGTACGGCCCCTAAATTTGTTCAGTGTCTAATCTAGATGAAAGAATTAAAAAAGACTTGCATTGTCAGTTTTAAACCAGTGATCCTATTTTGGCCGGCCTTGGCTTTCTCATTTAGGAGGAATTAATCCAGTTTAAAGTTTACTCAAAAACAGTGGAGGTGAATCACTAGCTGCAATGTATGCTGAGCTAGGATTAAATTGCCTCTAGTGCAGTGAGTTTGAATGAGGTAACAAAACTTCACTGAAATCAATTCCTATAGAAATGATTGAAGCTAGAATTATTTCCACTACAAAGAATGAGAGAAGCCTAATGAGAAATGCAGATGGTGTAAAAACCTATATACAGGACTTTGAGCTTTAATTTGCACCTTCTCATGGCTCTCAAATGTGTGAATTACACCAGATCATGGTCTCTTGCAGTTATACATTGTCATGGAACTGTTGGAACAAGTCCAGAGAAGGACCATGAGGATGATCAGG